AATTATATTAACTTAAACGGGGAAGGTAACTTAATGTTAAATATGTTGACATCTAAAAAACATGGGATGTCTTGGTGCTACTCATTTAAAATCTTAATATTTGATGCTCTTAATTCATTTTCATCTACCATAAATTTACCATCTACCATATTAATTTAACAATTTTTTCAATAGTCCTTCTTCATCTAAAGTAGAACTTCAGTACTAATGACATTTTGAACCAGATAATTATTTGTCATAGGAAGGCTATTCCATGCATTGTACAATATTTAGCACTATCTGTGGCCTCTACTAACTAGATGCCAGCAGCAGCTCCATAGCTGTGACAGACAAAAATATCTCCACACATTGCCAAATGTCCTCTGTGGGACAAAACTGTTTCCAATTTAGAATCACTAAAGACAGTTAAAATGGAAACCACTACTAACCCCAGGTTAAACTTACATACAAAGTACGTAAACAAAACACTAGACCATACTACCATTAATGCATGTCTGACTGGAATCCAGTGGAAATTATTCCAATACCTAGCCATATAATCCTATTGCTTTCAGCACAGAAGACAATGTTTATACCTATAGTCTTTTTTAAAATCAGTTCTGGAAAAATTTTTCCAGTCTCATTCATGAAAAGAAGTAAAAGTTACTGGATTCAAAATTGAATATAAACTGACAAATTTGAGCAAAAGCTACAGTCTCACGTTAAAACTTAGCAAGAAGTGAATGATTCCCTACATATTTTCCAAATGTCTTAACGTGTAAAGTGCTATTTTATAAAGTGCTGTTAAACGGTAAGCTAATGATATAAAGCAGCAATGCTAACTACATCACCATTTACCCATAAATACTAACCATACTGCAGTTACTGTTTGCCGAAATGCATTTCTTGTCATCACACCATTGACACCCATTTGTATTGGCAGTACAGCTGGCACAATCTGCATATCTGTAACATCTGTCATCAGTAGCAGCTATAATACAAATGGGACACAGAACATACCAGGATTAAAAAATGTTACACTTTTTAATTCACATCTTTATAAATATCTATTTAAACTAGTGCAACCTCTGTGGAAAGCAATATGGAGATATCTTAAAGAGATACAAGTAGAAGTACCATTCGATCCAGCAACCCCATTACTGGGTATCTACCCAAAAGACCAAATGATATTGTATAAGAAAGACACCTGCACCCGAATGTTTATAGCAGCACAATTCACAATTGCAAAGATGTGGAAACAACCCAAGTGT